GTTGTACAAGAGAGACATATAATTCTCGTGAGCCAAAGGCTAGCTTCAGTAAACATCGAAAAGGAGTTGGCTGCACTGATATTAAGCTGTTCAGTAATCTTTCCCCCCACTATAAGAAGTCTGAATCACGGTACAAAGATGTTCTAGCCAGCTCCAAAAGAGTATCTCCTATCTCACCCGTTCAACTCAATAGAAGAACTTACCTCGACCAAAAATTCTGAGCTATTATAAATACAACATGGCAACAATGGCCATGTTTTGCTGTAATAATGTACTTGACTGTAAATTACTGATACGTATATTGTGGATATCCGGCTTATTTGAAATTTTTTTCTATTGTCCGCTACAAATGGCAACAATTAGAGCAAGAACTCGCTGGCTAGTGTAAGAATATTAAAAATAATAAACAATTCCCTGCACGAGGCTCTCGTTTTAGTGCCCCGCCATTATTCTAATGAATCGTCATAACTTTCGCCACTTACTACCAACCTTCCGTCCTCAAAACTAAATTCCCCAGGATCTACTAAAAATGTTATCCTCCGACATTACGTACGTTTCGTATCAATAAAGACGAAATAAGTTTTACGTTATACCGCGTTAACAATGGACCCTGGGCGTTTCTGACATCTCGGTCTAAGACCAAAGTCCCTTTTCCATAATTTCGCTTTTGAGATTCGATCCACCCAAAAACATTTTACGTATTACGAGGCCCAAGTGTTACTGAATTCAGTCGCTAACGAGGGGAGGCGCTCAGGTGCGGTTCATCCTGGAATTTCACCATCTTTTCATTACTCGGTCTTCCTTGATCCAGGGCCTCGTGGCGAGGCTGGTGGGGCGCAGGGCCCCGGGTACAGCCGGTCGATGCAGGCAGACTACAGACACGCAACTCAGACCGGGGACGTTGCCCGGCACCATTCATTATTTTTGCAAAGCTTTTTGCGAAATATCTGCGTGGACATCGAAGTTGGTTTTACCAAAAAAAAAATACAACACTCACAGATAAAATATATTCGTACTGTAAATAATTTCTAGAGAACGAGTTAATACATAAATTGTATTAACATCACAAGTGTCTCAAAAATCTTGGGTCTTGGCTGTTCTAACACTGAAATTGTGTGTTCGAACCCCACTCGGTTTTATTTATTCTGTATCGTCTGTTGTGCTGCCCTGTGTGGGTAGAGGCCTTGGGTCGAGCCGGTCATAATCGAAGGAGTCATACCAAATATCGATAAATATTAGAAAAGCTGATAAAAAGGGTCTCGGGGGGATCGAACCCCGGTCGTCCATCCCGTAGCTAGTCACTATCCAGGCTCTCGCGAAGTACAGTAGATATAAAAATACCAGAGACTTGCAAACAGGCAAAGAAGAATTTAAAAAGGCTTCAAATTTTTGAAGTACTTTGGTAAATTATGAGAATTTTGATCTGATGGCGGATTTTCACAAAGTTTTAAATAAGTGGAATGCGTACATCTGACCCATTATTAGATAAGTCAAATTCTTTTCCGTTTCTGATACTAAGATAAAAAATCCATGAACGCCAGCTGTTGGTAAAATTCCGAAGGAATTTATCCGAGGAGAGGAAGATCGTAAGACTCTGAGATCCATAAACATTGGGTTTGGAGTAAGGAGGAATTTTCACAACATCCGAAGGAATCTATTACTGTAGGCCTACCTATTTATAGCAACAGCCATAAAGCTGATTATAGTAGCCTCCTATCTAGGAAGAACACATCTGTGAATTTCAAACTTAACATCAGCTGTTACAGACTTCAGGAAAAAGTCACGGAACAGAATTCTGTGAAAGTCTATTCGGGTTGATCAAAGGATTTTAACGAAACTCACATTAAACTCATCTGATGCATACAAATTCTGACGAGTTCTTTTCAATTTTTGATTTAGATACGTCAATACAAAGCTCCTTAAAAAGACAAGGGGGGCAGTTGGGAGGATAATATTAAAATTTATCACAGAGAAATAGGGCTTACTTATGTGGACTGGAGAGAGGATAGCGACTCGTGGCGGGCTCTTGTGAACACGGCAATAAATATTCGGGTTCCATAAGGGATATGAATTTTTTTAATTAACTGTGCAATTATCAGCTTCTCAAAAAGGACTCCGCGAAGGTAGATGGTTTACCGATCTTCAGATGTTATTATTTTATTTATTTAGTGTTCTGTCTGACGACAGGTCCATATGAACAGGATCCTTCCATCCTTTTCTCGGACTGGGACCTGTTCATATACGTTCTTGGCAGATGATCCAGAAGTGGTTTGCCATTGCCTTCTTCTGTGTGTGAATGGAGTAATTGTTGGGATGCCACGGAGGAAAACTCCGTGTTGCCTAGACCACGGCCTTGCCCAACACAAGTTATAAATTCGAACCCGAGACCCCAGGATTACAAGGCCAGCGTTCTAACCGCTAGACCACCGTGACACACGTAAGATGGTTTACCGATCTTCAGATGTTACTGGACAATAAAGTTATGATGGAGCCGCGTGGTAATCCGACTGATCTATAAACAACAAATCTGAACCACATTCTATCGTTACGCCCATCAGTCGGGGAACGTGCTTAAGTGCGAGCGAGCTAATTGTGGACGTTACAACACCCGCCGACTTCCCGTCTGTCTATGCTCACACATCAAGTTCGTTTTGAATGAAGTCTGGTAAATTTGCGTGGTAAAAACTGATATAAATGGTCTCCTGGTCGTATATGTAAGTAAAAAATGACTTTAATGTTGACAAGAACTTCGTAAGACAATGACCATCAATTGTTGCCAGAGTTAAGCCCACTAATACGTAACGGTTAGTCATAGAATCATTGATGATTATTGTGATGTACCTATTGTTGAATCTGAACGTTGTATCTTGATAATTATTTGGGTTCCTGACAAGTTTTAAAGAACTTTAGGATCCTGTATTATATTGGCAACACTTGCTTCTTATTCTTGAAAAGAAACAAACACTTAACACTGCAGGTCTCACGTAACTGGCACTTAAAACAACACATGCAAGTCAAACTATAACACTTATTCGATTTTAACAATTAAAAGGTTAAACGTATAATCACAGAAAACTGACAAGTAATGATCCTCCATATTGCAGATTTTGTAAACCTACGATCACAATGACCACCGAACTTAAATTTACCTTCTTACCGGCTCTCGAATCCGGCGAGACTTAAATCGCGAGAAACGATTAATCGAATCAAAAGTCAAAGGCGTGGCTTAGCAAATGTACGTTCCATGACTCTGGACACAGGACCAGAATGAAAATAATTTGTGAATGCTCTCTTATAAGCAATGTTAAGTATAACAAATGCATCTATGGTATCCAAGGTCACTGTTGGAACAATAAGATCCGAGGTCAGTTGCAAAACGTACTCCAACAATGACCTCGGCTCACATTATTGCAACAACGCGCTGCAAATTAACCAGTTTACACTTTTGTAACGGCGTGACCCAACATGACCTCGGTTCACACCAAGATGGCGGAAGCCTCTGGAGCATCGACCGCGGGGGTTTCGGTCACAGGGAGCAAGGATACAGACGAAAGATCGGGTTCGCAATCCGCGAAGGTGTAAATCCCGGCTTGGAGCGAGACTGGCAGGAGAAACCCTGCGATTTTACGTGGGTGGGGAGAGGGGTTACAGTCCCCAGTAGCGACCTATCCGCTTGTGTGTGGCAAAACCCATGGGGGGCGCAGTATCAATGGTGGTTTAACGCGTTGCAGTAAAGCCCCGCGGTGCCTGACCCCACCGAGGACAAATAAATCGATTTTAAAATCCCGGGGGGGGAGGGGATAAAGACTGGAGGGCAGACACCCTGGAGTAACAATCGAAGGTCCATGGGTTAAAAGCCCGGCTAGGAACGGGCGTGGAATTATTACCTCTTACAGTCTCCAGGAGGTGGCTTCGCCCCGTGGGTGACTAAGCCTCGCTAACACCAGAGCGTAAAGAATGCCTAAAATGGGTCTTATAACTGGGTTAAGACGGGCAGGGACAGTGACTGACAGCGGTCTCTGGTGAGCACGGCGAGGACATACTTGATTAGGTGAGCGACAATTAGCTTGTCTCGTCCACGGAGTCAGCTGGTCTCGTTAAAACGCGACATGGCTGTTCAATAACCGGACCGCAATAGCCCGGAACCAACGCTGCAGGTGACAGCGTACGACCAAGACGCGACGGCCAAGTTGACCCACATCGAGCGAGATGAATCTGGGAACGCACGTGGCAGTGCTGCTACGCCCAATCCAGGGACCCCCAAAGCGTGGTGGCTCGCTGTATCTTCGGATCAATAGGAAGCGATTCGCACTTCCGCTGCAGTGCAACAGATCTGACGGGAGCTACGACATTACGCGAAGAAAGTTGAGCCTCGACTTTCCAGAACTTACAAATTGTGCCACTCCGCCACTGACAGTTGCTACGTCTGAAAATGGCAGATAAGTAAGTTTCTGTCACACCTCAGGACACAGTTTCAAAGGCGAAGTTGATAGCCAGGCAGCAAATGTCGACTACGCATGGAATAAGACGTAATTGTACAAGTGTAGTCAGAGTAAAGGTACATCGGTTATCATTAACTACATTAAACTCGATTAGAAAATTTAAACATTATTACGATAAGTTTGAAAATATCGCAAAAAATGTTGAAATCGATAGTAGTCTCGAAAGCTCGTAATACACAAAGTAGGCCACAACTTTGCTATTTTGTGATAGGGAGTAAAACTTTCTCTCTCGATGCACGGGGAAGAACACAGGTGCGGTGTTTGAGAACAGGGTGCTTAAGGCGAACACTTGGCCTTAAGAGAACGCTGTATAATGAACAACTTCATGACGTCCCTGGTGGCAAGGTCACGGGATACACGTATAAAAATTGCTACATAACCTATATTTCACACTGACTGCAATGTAGCAAAAATGTCACTTCATGTGTAAACTGCTTAATAGTACCTGCATATATATATTATTTTAAAGATCAATAAACATGATTTGTGATAACTTACCTAATATTGTTCTTAGTTTCCTCGGCTTTTAGAACTTACACCTCCTTGCACTGCACCGGTAATTTATACAACTAAATAATATTATGACTAGCAGTTTCCCAAGGTAAAACTGCGGGAAATTTGACAAATTGTTTGCGCCGTTATTCTGTCGTGCTGAGTTTCCGAGCTACAGAAACCATCTTCGCCTGGACTCAAACCCTAGAGATATATTCGGGGCTGTGGTCCTTGTTCGTGTAAACTCCTCGCCGAAAAATCTACTCGTGGTCCAAGATGTGAAATGTGGGAGTGTACTAAAACGCGAGTTGGTGTGAACTGCATTCGTTTGACTCTGGACATGGCCAGAGATGTCCTGCGAACGCAGCAATGAACCACTGGACACCATACAAAGCGGACGAGTACCTTCTGATTAACTGAGCGACTACTGCGCTCTCAAAGAATCTGTACCATAAAACATTTATCTACTGGTTTGATGAAAAATTTTAATTTCTTAAAATATTTTAATAACGAGCATTTGATTCAATTTTACATATCCCTATTAAATAATATAAATTAAGTTTTAAAATAAACTAAATCCAACTTACGTTAACAGACCAGCCATTTTCTGTCCAATTGCAGTTAAACATTCTTTTTGTCAATGTGATTAACGCAGGTTTCTCCACCTGGGACTTACGTACAAATGAATAGAGATTTCACTCTGGATACAGATAAACAAATTAGCTGTCTCTAAGACAGACAACTTCAGGTCAAAATTATTCCTTTATGAAGGTTATCCCTGCATTTCTGAGTCTGGCATAAAAGACACGTTAAAATCCTGGAATATCCCACATGCCACCCTTTTGATCTGGAAAGATGAAAGCTATACTATTGTTTAATTGCGCATTTGACATTTAGAGCAACGGTTCAAAAGTAAAAAGCTTGCCATAATTCCATTTTAATATCCATCTCTCCCATCAACAAGGAAGTTGGAAAGTTACAACCTAATTCAGTATAATATCTTTATAAGACTCTTTCATTTTGTATGATACATGATTTCTAACCCTTAATTTCTTATTCTTTTGGTTCTAGATAACGTTCTTCGTTGTCTTATATTTTGTAAAAAAAAATGTTATTATATTTGTTTACGTCCATCATCTCTTTGAATGCCTCCATGCTTTCACATTTTAACTCTAAACTTTTTTTTTTAAACTGGTCTTCACTTTTGAAATTTTCGTAATTTTTTAGACTTCATTTTATGAATTCTGGCCCAAACATAAACACGACCACACATGTCGACTCATACCTAATATGTCGTGAATATTAGAACACGGCGGATACGTGCTCGCCCGTTCAGTTTACGTGCTTCGACGTACACTGCTACTGATGTCACAACCACGCCCCCGTTATACTCTTAACGCACCGTTTACCATTTCCAGCAATGTTTCTTGAGTGCGGGAATGGTGTAACCTAGCAAGGGGCAAAGTCTTGCACTTTCGCAGGACTCCGCCCTTAGTTAGCTTCTTGGTAGATCAGCTGGCTGTTGTCTGGAGTTGGGGAACTAGCTCAAACTGATCAGGTCCAACAGAGTAGGTCTTTACCTGAGGACGAGGAGAGATTCCATCTCTGAAATGATTTTATTAAAAAAAAAATCAAGATGAAGGATAACATTCAGGAAGTTTGTTATTTTACATGCGTTATGCACAAGAAATAAATAACTGCTACATTGCCAGCAGTTCCACTCAACATTTTATACACTTTACAGAAACGGCAAGATTCCCCTTGGTCCGACAGCTTCCCGGAATAAGTCATTCTGTTTCATAGGCCTCGTTTACTTACGTCTGGCAATAAAAGAAACTATTCACACAAAATTCTGTAGTATTTCTTGAATTTCCTGTCATCGCCTATTAAATCATAAAATAATACAGAGATTTCTCGTAGTCTTCCTCCTTGTCCGCGTCTCGCAAAACCGGATGCTTCCTACGTTTCTGTGCGGAGAACTTCTCGTCACATAATGCTGACACGAAACATTAACAGACGTTCAGAATCACTCGTACTAGGAAGCACCACCATCGGAAAATTCTATCCGATTCAGTGCGCACCGACACAATGTGAGCTAGCGTTAATCAGTTTGATTTCTTACAAAAATTATCTTGCGTACTCAGATGATGGAATGCCTCTGTTACACTTTTTTGTTAACTAATACAAAGATTTGCTGTGAAATAAAATTCAGCTAGAAATTTAAATAATACAAGGCAGAGTCCACACGCATATTAAAAATATTTCACATGCAAAGTAAATTTAATAGAGTAGAACGGGGGAAGATGCCTAACTTTTTGCTTTGAAACGTCATATCCGGTACAATTTTAGAAATTGTTATCTGTTATAAATGTGACGTACGCTGACAAATATTTTGAAGTTACAACCCAGCTTACACGACCAAAAAAATAATTTATTTGTGACTTATCATTCTTTTTTTGTAGGTTGACATTTTAGGCATCTTTCCCCGAGAATCGGGGAGAGACGACAACGCGCAAAATAACAGAAGTACTCTCTCATAATTATTCCAACAGGGTGTTTTCTTTTTTGCCGTAGTTCGGGTATTAGGCCTGCGGGATTTCTGTCCTAAAGCAGTAGCTTTCTGCCGACGCATTTTTGCATTAGATTGAGTTGCCGATTTCTGCCACGCCTCCTTCAGCGAAGGTGCAAACTGTGATCTCGATACTTTTGCGACCTGGTTGAGATTGTGCCCAAACACGCATTGCTTTGAAAAAAGTGTTTCATGGGTTTAAAGAAACACCGATCAAGGGGTTGAAGGTAACGAGCGGAATGAGATGGGAAACAGACCATA